CACACACACACACACACACACACACAGGCCTTCTGTCTGCTGGGGCAAAGAGTTAGACAAAGCCCAGTGGGTGGTCATTTCTGCACCAGGCATTTTGCCCTCGGAGTCATGGCTCCATTTGACAAGAAGGGAGACGAGGAAAAAGGAGGGAGGGAGGAATAAAGTCTGAAATAGAACTCTGGGAGAAAAAAAAAATTCAAATGGACTTTAATGGATATCAGTGGCTCTTAGTGGAAGAGAGAGCAGAAGAGAAGAGAGAGGCTGTACGCTGCTAAAACGCATAAGGGGAGAAGGCCAGAGTCGGGGTGTTGCAGCCATGGAAGTCAGAGAAGCTCTTTGATGATCTGGTAAACAGAGCAGGCGGCTGTACAAACAGAAAATAAGAGGAGGAGGAGGGCATAAGAGAAGAAGGGAGCAGAGCCCAGACCTCTCCTATAAATGTGTCAGGCATGATGCTCCCCCTCCCTCTGGGTCAGAAATGTCTTTGTGTGGTGCCATAGTGATGGCTGGTGTGTTGGCGGAAGCTGATGTCATTTGTGGGCTCGCCTCTCAAAAGAGAAACCAGCGTCTGACCGGAGAATCGGGAAATGAGACCTGCTGTGTACACATGCTGACACTGTGTGTAGTTCACACACTCACACACATGTTGCCAGTGCACAGAGTCACATTATTAAGCACTTATAAAACAAGACGAATGGAGTAGCGTATTTATTGCATATACACTGTGCTCAGTCGTAATATTTACACAGATTATCTTTTTCTTATCACACAAATTGTTTTTTTTCAGCTTGTGACAAGAAATCTAAAGTTGAAATAGTTGATGTCACAAACTTTTGTTACAGCTTTTTTTTTTATAGCAAATGGAATTTCATTTTTATTGTTGCTGCTGTTTTTGATAGCTTTTTTAGGCTTCAGTGCATGTGTCTGCAGGATATAATTTAAAGTCCTGCTCATTGCTCATCCCATTGGATTACACCATGTGAGGTGAGGGGTAAATTTCATGGAATGATCAGTTCCCATCCATCAGATCTGTGGTTTCAGCCTTTTTTTCCCAGGTCAGTTGCCCCACATCCTCAAATTATTATTATATTATCCATATTAACACTTTCACCCACCCCTCCATCGGCATAGTAGAGTAGATAATGATTTAATAAAAATTTTGGGGTGAACTATCCCTTTAACATAGGGGGTGGAGGGGTGGAATATACTGTAGCTTAACCACCAGGTGGAAATCAAGATGCTTTATCTTCTGAAGACAGTCTATGCTCTTTATACAATTCAATATTTATGGTTCGGCTAGGTTTATATTTGTTGTACACAGATACATATGTGTCAATCTTTTGTCCATCACTCTTTATAATTAGTGTGAATACATACTATCACGATTTTAAATTAGTTGAGCAACTCCACAATCTTTCCACACAACCCACAGCAGCGGCCAAAATCCCCCTGGTTGAGGAAACGCCGTGCTCACTCCTTCACTCTCTCATCTTTCAGGCTGCATCACTTGTCCCCATCTGCCCTTTCATTTCCTCCCTCCTCCCTCGTTCCCTGTTTGTGAGCTTAAGGACAGGTCTGACTGATGACAGGGGCTAAAGGTGAACCCTGAATCCTGATTATAAAACCCAGCATGCTCTGTCTACAGCAAACACACTCTGACCTGCAGCGCAGCATTTGCAGAACAGACATACATTTGCACATGCAACATTCATACACAAGCATGCACATACATATACACTACACATCATCTCACTGGGCTGCAGTGTGCTCCGTGTACATACTCTAAAATGTAGGGATTACTTTGATCTGCTGCAGTCAGCCCAAAGTAATCAGGCTGATCCAGAGCCCTCCAGCTGAACTGGCAGCAGCACTGCCTGGATTTCTCATTTAAGTGAGGATTTGGTTTATCAACAAACTGGATTGTACCATCCGTTACTCTAAACTCTAAACACCATGTTTTCTGCGCTTGCCATGCTGTAGATTTTTAATCGATTGAGCTTGAGGAGACACAAATTGGTTTTGATCCGAAAAACGTGACCAACCCGGCAGAGTGGGTGGTTTATTTGTTTTTAACCATGTTATCACTGGAACAGGTTTTAGCTTCTTTTTTTTTTCTTTTTCCCTGACTTACATAGGATCTGTTGGAATATAAGCTCATCCATAATTCATATGGTTCTTCTGCGTCGGCATGGAATCAAACCAAGATTGAAATGGCGGTCGTGCAATCTACATGTGCGCATGAAAATTAAGAGCACACTAAAAGGCTGAGTCTGATAAATATCGCTTTTTGCTGGTCTTTTTTCTCAAGGACATCCGCCTATTATATAGAGTAGAGGGAAACATCAAACACACAAACACACACACCTTCTCTCTCCATCGCCAAACTCCCATTTTGTACTCTGCTTTATGGTTTTCTTTTTGGCACAGTCACAGAAGAAGCAATATTCATCTTGGCTTGTTCTTGTTCTACATTATTTACTTGTTATTATGTACATTTGAAGCAATTGATGTTTTTCTCTTGAGGGGAATCAAGAGTCTACTGCAGCACCGGCTTTACTTTACCACAGCTGTGTTTTGAGCTTAGTGGTCTGTAACATTTCTGTAAGAGAAATTTATGGAGTTTTTATACAAAATATAACCTTCATAGTGATGCTACAGAAAAAGTAAGGTGATCATCATCAGGACACATCCTCCGGGAACCATCAGCTCCTGTACAAAAATGCTTCTCGGTTAATTAGATGTAGTCAAGCTACAGAAAATATAGTCTCTGTCTATAGTCACAGTCTCCACCTCTGTTCCTGGATTATGGAGTTAAATAAGCATCAGTCCTTTACAGAACATCATGATGCTTTTACATTAGAAATCCATCACTTCACTACTTTATCCTATTGAATATCAGCATATCAACTCCTGTACTATGGCCTTTTGTGAGCTCAGTGACCTTGACATTCAACATCTAAATTATTTCACCACTGAGCCCAAATGAACAGTTGTGCTTCACCAATTCAGTGCTTAACCATATGTGAAATATGCCTTTAATCATTGACCACCAAACCCTAAGCAGGTAATCCTTGAGTCCAAGTGAATGTTAGTTCTCGGTTTAGTGAAATTCCCTTGAGGTATTCTTGATAATCTCATAAATTCAGAAAATGTGAGGTCGCAGTGACCTTGTGATATTCCAGCACAAAATTCTAATCAATCTTCTTTGAGTCCAAATAAGCATTCGTGCCAAAGTCAAAGTGAACCATTACAACAAATCTGAAGGAAACTTGGGATATTGCATTCTTGAGAGTGGGAAGGACGGACACGACAAGCATGATACCTCCAAACAAGCAAAAAAAAGACATAGTTACATATATACAGTTTGAAGGTTAATGTCTAATATCACCCGTGTCCTGCTGGTTGTGACAAAGTGGGGTGATGGAAGGAGTAAAAGTGGATGAGAGGGGAGCGGAGAGGAAGCATGTCGGAGGGAGGAGCTTTCTTCGTGCTCCGCACATCTGCCGCATGCTGCTTTGTTTGTCCTCCTGGTTTCACTCTGGTCTCACTTTTTAGTCCATTGTGTGTGTTTGATTCTCCTCCCCCTAACACAAACTCACAGCATGCACACACACACACACACACACACACACACACACACACACACACCATTGCAACAGAGTGGAGTAGAGTGTGTGTAGAGTTCTGCGTCAATCATTCCCACCAGCTGCTTACAGGCTCCTGATAACCAGCAGTAATTAGAGATTTAAACTCCTGTCTCTCTCTCTCTCTCACACACACACACACAAACACACATACTCTTAAATCTCTCTCTCCTTTCTCTCTCAGTGACTCCTGCTCTCTCTCCCTTTCAACTACTCCCTCTTCATTCAGCCAAATTGGCACACCCCCCCCCCCCTCTCTCTCTCTCTCTGATGGGATGTCAGTGGCGGATTTTAGCCTATGGGTGTAGATGTAGTGTGAGCTGGGAGTTGATTCCTCCCTCGTGCACTCTGAAAATCTTTCAAATCTTTGCAGCTGAGACCAGATCGTCTCTGGATTTTTCCTCTCAGCTGGAGAGACAGAATCGAGAGCCAGGGGGAAACGTTGCAGTGAGGTGAGGTGCCACTTGTCTCTTGTTTGTCTCTGGGTTTTGGTCACAGAAGGCCTGGTGACACACCACTGGCAATTTACTCTTGCTTTGATTTTCAACTCTTCATCCTTTGCATTAATTTGTCTCCATAACTGAACAAAAGCATCAACTGTCTGTCTTTGTCCCTGTTTATTCCAATGTATA